AGATACTGTTTTCAATGATATCTGCAATACGAATGTTGAATTCTTACAAATCTATGAAGTAATGCAAATTAAGTCACAAAATATTATACAAGAAAATGAAATTTTAAAAGAAAGATTTCATCATTTACAGGATAATTTTATAAAATTTTTTACATTTGATATATAATGCATTAATTCCTTGATCATGATGGTTAATTTTGCACATATTTCCAATTATATAAATTCTAGACGTCTTATTCTAAGAGATAAAATTTTTAATATTATTTTTGATTATGATATACATGCTATTTATACAGAATTTATTGACGATTATAGCTACTTAAGATTTCAAAAGTTTTTAGGGCCCCACTGCCCATGCATTTCAGTATTGGTCTTTCTTGGGAAATCTGATGTGTATCCTTCATAGGATTTATTAAAACATCTGGATGCACAACAAATATGTGGCATCGCCAAAATATATAAAATCCAAATCTATTACAAGAAAATTAATAATGAAACAGGTACCTTTAATTTCCATACTGTTCCATATTACTTATTTTTAATAATGAAGCGTTTATTAATTTAAAGCTTATTCATGATAATATATACATTGCTTTTTCTCACAATTTTACATAGATGTGATAAATTAACTTACCAAAAATAGTCAAAACAATAGGCAACAGAAGCTATTCCAGCATGCAACACGCGCACATATATTCTGTCAGAAGAGATTGAGATTGAGGTTATCTTCATGAAGCATAAATGCGTGTCCATACCCCAGTCAATCAGAATCACCCATAGTCACGTGACGAGTTGGCGAGTCTCTCTTTTTAGGGTTTCTATAAAAAGAATTAAATGATGTGCGTTCCAACTCATACATCGAGCGCGTAGCTTGCAATATTGATACGCAACATTTCAAAATCATTCCGTTTTTTTCAATGCATAACACGCATGAAGCGATTGTGAATTCCGCACGATTTCCTATTGGGTTGTGAACTAAATAGATTACATTGATAATGTTAAAAATGCGATTGCGATTTATTAGTTATAAGATATAGAACAAATAAATTTTTTTTTTAAAAGTTTCTTATTTGAAGTAAAGGGAGAGATTATATACAGTCGCGATTGTCCGAACGTTTCGGATTGCGATTATTAGCATCTAAGATTGATTGTGATTTTAATGTCCGAACGTTTCGGACATTACAGTTATTTTGAGATTAATTAAATTCATGAACTTAGAATATTATATTACTAACTTCTAACTTTGACCGATCCATAGACGCTCTCTACTATATTATGTTGTTACATTAACTCGGTTTCTATTTATTACTTTTTTTTAACTTTTAGAGATGGTTTAAGAAAACATAAATAATAAGGAGCAACAACGCAAAATATCTTTAACGAAAGTCGTATGTTTAAAAATTTTAATATAATTAAAGTAAATGTTTCAATCAAGCCTTGATAATCATCACAATAACCTTCACGTAACTTTCAAACGACTATCAAATCAATGATTCCATCGTATGTCCCGTTCTAAATCAAACTTATGTCTGAAATATTTTTCCGTATCTTCCATATTTGTCGAGATATTTGCCTGGTTTGATTAAAATGATTCACCCTGTA